CGAGTCTTTCTGCTCCTCTAACCTTAACATGCGTACCTTCATCCTCAAGCTTGTTAGGTATTCTCTCAAAATTGCAAGCTTCAGACATCAGATCCATAACCATCAGAACAAGAGGGGGATAGGTGTGTGTGTGTGTGTGTGTGTGTGTGTGTGTGTGTGTCCCTTTTATGGAAAGTCAGTGCTTTTTCAGAAACCCCAGGAGACTTTTGCTTTTGTCTTTTTGCCAGAACTCTGTCACATGGCTACACAACAGCAGCAAGGGGGCCCTGGAAGGGAAGAATCTAGCCCAGCATATTCCTGCTCTTAACAAAATCAGAGCTCTTTCACAAAGGAATAAAGAGGAATGACTAATGAGTAGAAGTGATAGTCAGTACAGGTTTAGTTATGTTGCAGTAACAACCTCAAAATCTAAGAGGCTTAAAACAATTTAAGTTTTTTTTCCCCATCTGCTACTTGATTATCATGGGCTGGCTCAGCTTTCTATGGCACTATCCAGTAGAAACATAACATGAATCACATATGTAAAATTTAATGTAATATTTAAACTTTTCTATTAGCCATATTTAAAATTTTTTTTCAATAAATGAAATTAATTTTAATAGTGTTTTATTTAATCTGATATATCCAAAATATTGTTTCAACATGTAATCAATATTAAAACTTGAGATAATTTACATTATTTTTATTAGTTCATCAAAATCAAATGTGTACTATGCACCTACAGCATGTCTTAATTTGGACTTGCCACATCTCATGTGCTCAGCAGCCATGTGTAGCTAGGAGCTACTGTATTGGCCAGCATAACCCATCCTTATTCATGGACCCAGACTGAGAAAAGCCCAATCTCTTTGCTTCCATGATTGTCTCAATAGGATAAAAGGTATATGATGAATCACAAAAGCTCTTATTAAAGTTTTCACCCAGAAGTAACACACCTCATTTCAACTTATTTTATTGGCCAGAGCAACCCACATGGTTATATCTAACTTCAAAAGCACAGAAGTGTAATCCTACCTTGTAATAAGTCCAGAAGGAAAACTGCAATTATTTAAAAATAGTACTCATAGCTATCATGGTAGGTGACTGATAACTTCCAACACAGCCTCTGAGATACCATGATAAAGGAAGGAAGAAAATGAAGAGATAGGCACAATGTGTAAAACAAATCAATCAGAAAGCAAGCGATAGTTTTTAATATCAAGGCAATATTAATACCAGTCTGAGCACAATTAAAGGTCGGAAGCATTAAACAAAAAGGGACATTTTAAATGATAAACGGTCTAATACATGAAGTATGTAATAATCCATAAGCCTTTGTGTATAATCAACAGTGCAGCCAGATACAAGAAGAAAACTGCTTAAATGAAATAAAAAGGTTTGTCTAAAATAACAGCAAACAACATAGGAAAATCATTGGTAGGTTTTTCGCTAATGGAATAAAACCAAAAGCTGAAACAATTGGTATAACTATGGAAAACATATTTGCAGATGACATGGTTATTTACATAGAAAACCTTAAAGGGTCTACAAAAAACTATTTAGAATCATTAAAAGATTTTGATATAGAAGCTTTTGTATACAGAGAAACTTGCTATGCTTCTGAATAGAGAAACTAAGTTCATAAAGAAGAAGAGTGCAAAGACCAACTGAGAAAAGTTTTGGAAAGAAAACCATGAGACAACTTGCCTGCCTGGACAGACATTAAGCTTTACTGTACATACATGTGGACAAATATATCAGTGGGGTATGCAGGGTGACCTGTGCCCCAGACCCAGATTCTGGGATCTCCTCTGAGTGTGCTCTCCACAAATCCCCCCTCAACTTAAAAATTATCAGGGTAGAGATTGCCCAGAGTGAAGGGGAGATAGACTGTAGAAGAATGAAAAAAGAAGAATTCTGCTGTCATGGTAAAAATTAATTAAAAAGTAATATTGTCTAGATGAAATGACATGAGGAAATGATGTTGCACCCCAAAGTTTCCTGGAGTAGCCAGCTGTCTCTATCAGGGATAAACACTTTTAAAGGGACTTCCTTTGGCAGAGCTGAGCTCACTTGGGCTTAGTGTTCAGTCATGACTTCCTTCTATTAACATTTGTCAAAAAGGACTTTTTAAAGAATTAAGTTAATTTCAGTTAACAGTTAAATCTGAAAAGGGGGGGATCCATTATTTGCATAACATTCAACAAGCCCGTCTGTGAGAACAGGCCCCAAAGAACCATCATGTCAGAGGGGCAACTAATCCCCAGAGAAGGACCCTCTGCCCTTGCACTCAGCCTGATCAGCACCCAGAGAACACAAAGCCCAGGCCCAATAGATGTGGAAGAAATTCTAGGCCTGACTCTACTGCTACATCACATCCCCAGGCATCTTTGCCTCTTGGAACTCAGCATGCGAGAGGAAGAGGGAAGGCCATGGGCAGAATGGGACAGGTGACCTCAAGGGACCCAGACACCCTGCCCATTTACTTAGCCTTGGAGAGATGAAGATTTGGACCTTCTGGTTTCAAATTGCTTCTGCAGTTTGAAAGCGGCAACCATTGCTACTATTACTGCTGCATCCCGGACTTGCAGACTAGTAGCCTCTAGAGGCTTAAAGGAGTCCTTACCCAGAAGATGCCAATAGCAGAGACCATAAGGAAGGCCAGGACAGAGAAAAATGGATTTCTGTGCTCACAAGTATGTGCATACCTGATAGACACACACACATATGTGCATGGCATGCCAGCCTCTCAGGGAATCTCCAAGCCCAAGAACCTATCCCCATCAGCACCGTGCCTGCTTATCATTTTGTCTTGCCTCTCAGATGTGTTCTTGTGGTCTCTCTCATCACTGGTTTGCTCATCTCATCAGAAATGTGGTTCTGAAGCTGCTGCACCTCTTAGGAAGTATCTGTGGTCTCCCACTAAAGCTGTACTTTCTTCCTGCACCTAATAGAAGAAAATGCAGGCCCTTAGGAATTGACTTCCTCCACAAGACTCCTAAAGCACAAAAATTCAAGAATCAATAAATAGGATGGTATCAAACTAAAAAGCTTCTTCACAGCAAAGGAAGCAATCAAGAGTGTGAAGAGAGAACCTAAAGAATGGGAGAAAACCTTTGCTATGAGCACCTCAGATAGAGCATTAATCTCCAGAATATATAAAGAATTCAAAATATATAACACCAAAAAATAATAACCTAACCAATAAATGGGCTGAGAAACTGAACAGGTACTTCACAGAAGAAATATGAATGATAAATAAATATATGAAAAAAAATATTCAACATCTCTAGCAGTTAGAGAAATGCTAATTAAAATTACACTGCTATTTCATCTCACTCCAGTCAGAATGGCAATTGTCAAGAATACAAGTAATAATAAGGATGTTGAGGATATGGGGGAAAATGTACACTCATATATTGTTGGTGGGACTGCAAATTAGTACAGCCACTCTGGAAAGCAGTATGGAGATTCCTCAGAAAACTTGGAATGGAACCACCATTTGACCCAGTTATCCCACTCCTTGGTAATATACCCAAATGACTCAATATCAGCATGCAGTGATGCAGCCACATCAATGTTTATAGCAGCTCAATTCACAATAGTTAAACTATGGAATCAACCTAGGTGCCTCTTAACAGATGAATGAAGAAAATGTGGCACATATACACAATGGAATATTACTCAGCCATAAAAAAGAATGACTTTATGACTTGCTGATAAATGGATGGAACTAGAGACAATCATGCTAAGTGAAATTAAGCCAATCCCAAAAAATCAAAGGTCAAATGTTCTCTCTGATGTACAAATGCAACACAAGAAGGGTGGGAAAAGGAAGAGTAGAAGTTCAGTGAATTAAACAAAAGGAAATGAAGGGAAGGGAGGGAGGATGGAAATAGGAAAAACAGTAGAATGAATTGGACATAACTTTCCCATGTTCATAAATGAATATACCAACAGTGAAACTCCATGCATGTATAATGTGGCAAAATACACTATAAATACAGTATTCTGTCATGTATATTTAAAAAGACCAAATAAAATAAATAAATAAATAAATAAATAAAGCAGTACTCCTTAACTGAGGATGATTTTTCCCTCTGGAAACTTGATTGTCACAGCCCTGGGCAGTGCTATTGGCATCAAGTGAGTAGAGGCCCAGGAAGGTGCTCAGTGGTTCTTGGCCAGCCACCTGCCATTGCTGACCATCAAGGTTGACCTTCACGTAAGACCCTATCACTGGTGACCCCACCTCAGTAGCAATGGACACATCTTTTCACAAATCCTCAATCAGAACATCTCCCTATAAGACCATCTGAAAAAGAAGCAACACAGAAAGTGGAGATGCTTCATGAAAATAAATTTGTTCTTTTATGAGCACTGCTAGTCTAAAATGAGGTGTTTCTGTGAACCAGGTTTGAAATGGCGGGCATGCCTGGCTGAGGAATATCTGAGGCCCTCCCCTGAACTTCCTTAACACTCTCCATGAATACCATTTCTGTTCCCTGTGTTAAAGGAGGAATTGTATGTGCATATGGCCTGGGAGGAAACTTCTTGTACTTGGCTTTGTCCCCTCTCCTGGTCTACCCCCTAGAGGAGGACCGGAGTAACCAGGAAGTTCCTTGTCAGCTGTGAAGTTGTCTCCCTTTCCTTGCACGTTATATTGACTTAGTCTTTTTAGGGGAAAACTTGCTTAAAACACGAAACTAACTAATTATTAGAGGAAATCAAGAATCAAAGTAAAGTATGAGTTTTCATTTTTATGTTTAAGTTAGGGGTTAATTTCCTGGGAGTAAGGGAGGCACTATTTAAATATACAAGGAGACTCTGTTCGGGGGAGGAGCGTCTGGTTGGTAGCATGGGGCCTGGTGCCCACTCTGTGAAAGGTCCTTGGGTTCCTTAAATACCACCAAGGTATGGAGAGTGGGAAGCTGTACTTGAGTGTTTGGAAGTTTCTTTTGATAATGTGATCTCTTTCTTTTCAAACCTGACAATGATTTTTTTTTTTCCTTTTTCCTCAGGGTGACCAGAGGCAGGTCATTCCCATACCAAGTGTATGTATATTTATCCAATTTTATTGAAACATTGGTAGATTCTTGGGGCTTTGGGCCTAGTAATATATAAAAAAATTAACTACTCTTATATTGTTGAGTTTTATCATGTGGTATAAACAACTTAGTTCTGTTAAGAAAAATGAATCCAGGTGCTATGGAGCAACCCTATAATCCCAGCAGTTCAGGAGGCTGAGGCAGGAGGATTGCAAGTTCAAAGCCAGTCTTAGCAATATAGCGAGGCGCTAAGCAACTTAGTAAGACCTTGTCTAAAAATAAAAAAGGGATGGGGATGTGGCTTAATGGTTGAGTGCCCCAGGTTCAATTCCTTTTACCAAAAAAAAAAAAAAAAAAAAAAACAAAGGAAGAAGGAAAATGAAGCTATACTTTAAAACTGTGAGACAGTTTTCTTTCTTGGGAACCAGAAGCAGCCTTCTGTACTAACTAAATTCTCACCTTCCTTTCTCTCTGGAAAGGGCCTCTAGGCCTTTATAACCTGAGGTAGCCCGGAGCATCCCCCTCTTGTAGCTCTAACCCCATAAATTGTGGAGATTCCTAGGCCACCAGACTGTTCTACCTCTTTTGATAGTGTTGGTAGCTTGGCAGTTGCTCTGGTATCAGAGAAATTTTGCTACTTAGACTTCCTGAATTTGAAGGACTGGCCCCACCCCACAGGCCAGTTGAGCTGCTGCTCTGCCTCCATCGGGCACTTGAGGGCCACCCCAGTTCTGTTTTCAGCCCTGGAATTTGGGAGAGAAACTGTGCCAAGTGTTCTCAGCCAGCCACTGACCCAGCTGAGTCTTCTCCCCGCTGCTCAGCCAGCAGAGCATCCAGCCAGAGGCCATGCATCCAGTAGCTGCTGGGCCTGACTCCCAGAGGAACTTGAGTAGAAATATCCCTATCAAAGACCTTTCAAAAGATTCTGTATCCTCAGGGGAGGAGTTAGGTTTTCAGATAGGTCCATAAATGGCTATTTTACTTTGTGAAGATTATCTGGTTCAGATTACCTGGCTCAAATCTGTCCATCTCTTTCTGCTTGGACTTTGGAACATCCAAGAGACACATAATCCTACACTGTAAGGAGTGGATTTTGTGAGTTTCAGTTGACCAGAAGCTTAGGTAGTGCATGTCACTTAAACAACTGGCTCAAAAAGCATTTGATAATTTTTTTCTCAAAACTTTAATTCTCAGTGGCACACGCCTGTAATCCCAGCAGCCTGGGAGGCTGAGGCAGGAGTTTTGTGAGTTTAAAGCCAGCCTCAAGGTGCTAAGCAACTCAGTGAGACCCTATCTCTAAATAAAATACAAAATAGGGTTGGGGACATGGCTCAGTGATTGAGTGCCCCTGGTTTAAATCCCCAGTACCTCCCCCAAAACAAAACAAAGACCTTTAATTCTCTATAAACTAACAAGTTGTAAGAATTTGTGGAGTGATTATGCCAGCATGCCTGGGGGTTGGTCTTTGTTAGGGAAACTGGCTTTGCTCAAAAAGATTTATCAGGCACTGCATTATCTCACCCAAGTGTTTGCGGGAGATATCTAGTGGGGTTAATACCAGAGGACTTTCTTTGACATAGTAATTTCATATATTTTTCCTGAAAAAGTGCCTCCATTAAGGAGATTGTATGCATCATCCCTCATCCCTGCCTTCACTGTCACTATTGTCTTTTCTCAGTGTTAATTCAAGGCCATGTATAAAATTAAGTGCTACATGAAAGCAGTTGCCAGCTAGTTCAAACCCCACTAAAGAAACTGGCCCTTTTCCCACAGTTCCAAAATAAAACAGACAAGGAGAAGAAGGTTCCTTGTGTAATTATCTCAGTGTTAGATCCATAAACTACTACCATCTCCTAAATGTGAGACACTGGGTCAGGCTATATAAATCCTGGAACTGTCTTGCAGAAAAGCAGAGCCTTGCTAAAAGTAACTTACATCATTGAATGATAACCTGCAGAAAGCAGTTCTGCTGACAGGCACATATGATCTCCACTGCCTGCTTCGCATGCAGGACTGAGCTGAAGTCCATCTACTAACAGCTCAGCCCTGGGATTAAAGTCTTAGGGTCTCCAGCAAGATCTGCACCCACCTGCCAAGGCCCCAGATCACATGAGCAGAATGATCCCAGCCTTTCTGGACCAGAGTGGGACCTGGTCAGTGTGGGAACGCCCAAGAACTTCAGTGCTATACCATGGGATTGGAAATCCAGTCAGGTTGGTGCTGAGTCTCCACACCAGATTCCCTAGCCTCCTGATTGCTTTCTCAGGCCCCGAAGATGAAGGCTGCCTTGGAAATTGTGAGTGCCCAACACAGCTCAAGCCAGAGTCCCCCATCTCTGCTTCTTACTTCATACCTCTTTTTAATTCATTCACAAACCTAGGAACGTGGGTTTTTATCTTAAATCTTTTGCTAAATAATAATTCAGGTTCAATGTTTTTTTAAAGGTGAATGATTAGAAAGAGAAAATACCTCCCTCTCAATCCCACTACATTGAATAACCACTTTTAATATTTGTTATGTATCCTTCCAGAAATTCTCCAGACAAACATAAGCATATTTACACAAATGAAATTGTGTTGTACCCACCATTCTGCAAATTGCTTGCTGCTTTTAACAAGACACCTTGAATTTCCAAATATTAGTATGTATATATCTACCTCTTTGTTTTACACATTATTGATTGCATTTACTTTGTTTCCACTTCTGTGCTATAACAAACACTCCTCTTAAGAATATCCTTGAGGGCTGGGATTGTGGCTTAGCGGTAGAGCGCTCACCTAGTATGGACAGAACCCGGGTTTGATCCTCAGCACCACATAAAAATAAAGACATTGTGTTGTGTCCATCTACACCTAAAAAATTAAATAAAATATTTAAAGAAAAAATGAATATCCTTGAACCTGTGCATATGTGGACTTTTGTGCTAGTCTTGTATGATCGCTTCTAACTAGAATTGCTAGGTCAAGGGCTAGTTCTATGTTGTGAGAACATTAAAGACAAATCCTCTTCCAAAAGCCCATGCTAATTTATATTCCCAGAAAGAGTCCTCATAATTGCCCAGTTCCTCTCCTGAAATGGTTACCAAATATTTTAACCTTTGCTGATCCAAAAGTAAAGAATGATGCAGGTTTATTGCTTTGATTTGCATTTCTTTGTGAATGAGAATGAACAGCTTTTCACAAGTTCAGTGGCCATATGTCTTTCCTCTGCCCTAGTAATTTCTTTTTTTTTTTAATTTTTTTAAGTTTAAGGAAAGCAGTGCTTTCACCCCACTTTATGATATATCTTTTGGCCTTGTTTGTAATTATTTTGGCCAAAAATAAGTTTTAATTTTATACAGGGTAAATGTATTGATCTCATTCTTCATGGCTCCTGGATTTTATGCTTAAAATGGTCTCCCCATTCTATAGCTGTGACCCATATTTTCTTCTATATATTGATATTTTTCATCATTACACTTAGATCTTTAATCCTTTTGAAATAAATGTTCATGGAAGGCATGGGGTAACAGTCCAACTTATTTACTTTCCAAGTGGTTACTCCAATGTCCCAGCACCATTTATTTATTAAGTAATCATCTTTGACTCACCTGTTGGAGGTGACCTCTTTACCTGGACTATTGAAAGTTCCAGCTATAGGCTGGGATTTAGAACCTTCCTCATGGGAAAGCTTCAGGAGGTATTTGGTTAAAGTCAGGTATTGAAGGGTAAGGAAATGAGGCAGAGGGATAGAAAGTGTCAACATTACTGAAGTTTGAATAGTCATGACTTGAGGTGAAGGCACAAAAGATGGCATTATCAGTAAGAAGTGCTGTAGGGGCTGCAGCCTGAGTCCTACTGTTCCCACACTTGCCTAAGTCACACACCACATGATGCTCACAAACTCAGGGTTGGCAATATAGCTGAGCCATGAACCTTCTGAGAAGGGAGGGGAGAGCAGAATTTATTTTAACAGGTTCCTGAGCTATTTGCCTAAGGCTTTTAATAAAGTGGGAGTACACTGTTTTCCACCAAACATTATGAAGAACATATAAGGAGGGTGACTGTGCTGGTTAAAACCAGCCTGGGCTTCCCCCCCTGCCTCAGGCCCTGAGATCTCTGCACAGAACTCTGTGGCTTGGGGAGCAGTGTGCAGACCCTGAGTCAAAGAAATCTTCAGTAAGAAAACAATATGTAATGTACTAAGAAGAGGTACTAACTCTGGAAGGTTTATGAGGATTTGTGGGGCAGGTACTCCACAGGAAATAACTTCAGTGTTAACTATTTATGGCTGCTAGGTTAGCGCCAGGGAGAGGAAGTTTCAGATTTACTCCCAGGAAGAGAACTGGAATGAACACCATTCCCAAACCTTGGGTGGTAAGCCATGGTACTTTCCTCTCCCCAACCCACACACACCATAGATTTCTGCCCCCCAACCCGCTGGCCATGCTCCCTACATGCATTTGCCAAGCAACTTTGTATAGAAAAGACCCTTCTTAATAAAACTTGTATTTTTCATTCTTGAGCCTCATGATGGCCTCAGAGAAAATTTGGCTGAAGACATCCTTGCTGTTCAGAACTCTCACCAGTGGACTGAGGAATTTGCGTTTATCTAACATCTGGCTCTCAGAAAAGCTGTGTGCATTTTGGAAATGGGCAGAGGATTAATAGAAAACTCCTTGCCCATTGCCCTCCAGCCTGGCCTTGTTCTCTGCAGCACAAACGCAAAATCAATAGCTTGCCTAATAGGAGTCTCATGCTTTCTGATCTTTTCTCTGTTGGACAGTACAGTTAGGGATGTCTTTTACTTACATTTAACTCAAAGAATGCTAGTAAAGTGTGGGTTAAATATGCTAAGAAAGTAATTTTTATTCTTGGGCTAGGAAAAAAACTGAACATCTTTTGGCAAATCTTTGATGTTTTCAGATATACCAGGGATAGAATTTCTATGTCCTTATTTTCCATGCTAGCAATTAAATTACTAAGTTAAAATGTTGTTTTGGTAGAACATAAATACATGGGGGAAGAACTGGATGGATAAATGCTAGACTAAAAAAGAAAGGACACAAACAAGAGAATAATTGTGTTTTACTGTCTTGTGTCTGTATTCTTTACAGCGAGAATGTGTTTTTCTAACTTAATTGTGTAATAAAAATTAAAATAAATTTTGTTCTGGTCATGCACATGCTTTTTGCTGTTGCCCAGAAAACAAATAATCCTAGCCCTCTCTGTTGTGGTCACTTGCAGAGCTTTAGAAAGATCACACCCAGCCTTTTAAAAACACTTTTTGATTAAGAACTTCTTGCAAGTTTCATTTTTAAAAAATAACCTACTGACTCACTAATGTATAGTGAGAGAGTCCTTTCTAGGTCCCCAAATTTCATGCCAGTCTCTAAGGCACATGCCACCTTTCTTTCCAGTACTGCCAAGGTCAGGAAGGACTGCTTGCCTGGCTTTACTTAGAGCCAAGAGAATGAGAAACATTAAAGACTTTTTCCTCTGGGTGATTGTGGAAAAGGATGCCGCAGTGCTTGGTCCCCACAGGTAGCCTCTTTCTTGCAAATTCACCTGCCCTGTTGACCGCCTGTTTACATTCACTATTGAACCAGCCAAAGTTCAAAATAAGCTCTTGATCATTGACTAATGTTCATTTAAACCAAAAAAAAAAAAAAAGGGACCAGCCACTTAAAAGAGAATACCTCTTGATTTCATGTTTTCTTACTTGGTAATTTCTCCACTCTTCAGTGATTAGGGATATTTTCTTGTGTTTTGTTTTGCATCAAATATTAAACAGAGTTTGACCCTGCAGGACAGAAAATTAACCATTTAACATTGGACACCAAAAATGCCACCAAGTAGACTGAAATACTTCAAATAATTTCTGGAATGAGGCAAGGCCCAAAAAAATATGTACTCCAAACTGTGCGGGGTTGGCTGAAGATACCCAGATTTTATTAACACTCTGTGGCTTCTTTATTACAAGACAGCTACTACAGCGATATCTAAACCGATTCTGGTGAATACATAGCCTGTGGGTTGAAATGTAACCTTCAGAGAAAGAGACCCCAAGGGGCAAAAAATGTCACATTTGCTCAATATTATACCACAGTGGGGCAGGCACTGTATTTGGACCAGTTTTATTTGTTTCCTTGTCTTAAGGGTAACTTTAGGTTGAATTTTGCTGGTAATTCTCTTCATATATATGAAAATGTCAGTCACACACACAAAAAAAAAAAAGGAGGAGGAGGAGGAGGAGGAGGAGGAAAAAAAAACTGGATTCAACACAGGTCTTAAATGCCACAGTAAATTTCAGGCAAAATACATGTCGTCAGAGTAGCTGTTTTAATTAAATACTCATTCTTGTGTAATCTGTGTTAATAACAACAGTAGCCATATTACATTTACAGTCAAAATGTTGGGCATTTCACTGCCTTTATAACAATGACAGCAGCCTTTCACAGAAAGTATTATTATTCAAACTTATGGCCAAGAAAGTTCCTTGATGTTTAGACCCAGAGTTTTCTGGTGCCAAAGCCTTACAGTAGTTAGTCACATCATGGCAGTTGGGTTTGGTAAAACTCACCTTGTGGACTTCTTATTACTGTTGTTCTTAATAAAATTAAATTATATACTTGACCAGGCATATAAATATTTGCCTTCACTTATGCCCTCATTAACAAAGTATACTGCAAGAATAAGGGAACTGACTTTTCTCTTACATAGAAGTAATAATTGCAATTTTTGTTTTCCCTTTAGCCACCAGCTAAATACCTCCTTCCAGAGGTGACGGTGCTTGACTATGGAAAGAAATGTGTGGTCATTGATTTAGATGAAACCTTGGTGCACAGTTCATTTAAGGTAAATCAACATAAAAAAACCTTTTATGGTCTTTGTGATTTAGACACAATTGTATTGGAAAGGAAAAATAAAGAGAATGGAAGCTCGTGGTTGTTAGTGTATGACTTTATTCTTTCTCCAGAAATCCCAACAGCTGCTCACTAACTCAGGTAAACATTAGCTAAAGTAGTTGAATATTAACATCAGTAAGGAAAAGAAAGCACTGGGTTGCCAATACCACCAAGGCCTCCTTGTGCTTAGGAGGTTGGAGTTTTCCAACACTAACCCCTGCAAGAGTACTTTAAGGTGGCACAGGCAGTCAGCGCGTTGTGCCCCAGGATTCTAGACTCCTCAAGGTAACCAAGCGAGCGCTCTGCGTCATATTGGGAGGGATGTGGGAGGCACTCTTGCAAGCTGTCAGGTACCTTGCTCTCCTAGAATGCTCCTGGATCCATTCTTGAAAGATATCCAACTCTGAAGAAGCTCTTTTAAAGTTAACAGCCTCTGAACAAATTCAGCCATTTATTCTGACCATTTTCATGGCAGGAGGTTGCTAAGATTTGGAGGGTGGGCTAAATAAATGAGCACCCACCCTCATGAAGGGTGCAGAGCTGCAGTGATATCAAAATGGAGTGCAGAAAGTCTTTCTTGTTATCTTTCTCACTCTCCATCTCCCCAGCAAAAATGACAGTTCACCAAAAGGCCTCTATGCAGGATACTAGTGATTACCCTATTAAGAAATGAGATACCCAGCCAGGCATGGTGGCACATAGTGTAATCTCATTGACTTAGGAGGCTGAGGCAGGAGGATTGAAAGTTCAAGGCCAGCCTCAGCAACTTAGGAAGGCCGTGAGAAACTTAGCAAGACCCAGTCTCAAGAAGGGCTGGGGGATGTGGCTCAGTGGTTAAGTACCCCTAGTTCAATCCCTTATATTTAAAAAAAAAAAAAGAAAAGAAATTGTTTTTAAAAAGAGGCAAATGATGAAAAAAGTGAAGCAAGAAGTTGATGTGTTGAGAAGAAACAGCAGGTCTTTAAAGTTATGGTCCTTTTTGCCTTGGGTTATTTCTGGCAAAGGAACTGCTCTTTTGGTGGCCAGTGCAACTCCATTTCTCTTCTTGCCCCCAGCCTGGGACTCCCTTTACTTTGCTGAGAGATATGAAAGGCACCATCTACAAGAGGCTTCATATCTCACATGAGCTGTTGTTGGTCCTGGCAGGTTGTATGGCAAGCAGAAGAGCCATCAAATTTTGCCTGAACATCTTCCTGCCAGAAACATTCATCCTTCTGCCTGTTTCTCATGTGATAGATTGGACAAGGCCAGAAGGTTGTCTTTGAGTCCTTCAGAGAGTGGAGGAAGGACCACACTGGCTTCTAGCAGTGAGAAATGGCCTCCTTCTGGCAAGTGGCACATGCAGGGACCTCCTCATTCTACAGCACCCTGAGGGCTGGGGCCTGGGTTGGTTCTGGGGCCACCGTGGCCTTGAGTCCCAGCTGTGCTCTGAACATCAGTGGAAGCATTTTCTCCCCTGTGGGCATGTTCAGGACTTTTCAGTCCCTCTGGGGAAAAGCCCTTCAGAGCAGGGGTCAGTTACTGTGGCACCACAGAGAGCATCTTCCCAAGCAGCTCTGGGAGTGGGGTAACACTGATCAGACTGTCCCAGGTTCCTGAGGGTTCTGGGCTCCTGAGGCAGAGCCTTGGCAGCCCCTGGCGTCCCCAGAGCTTGCCCAGAGGGCTTTGATAACCACCAGCTGTAGTCAGCATTTCCTGGTTCTTCGTCCTCAGGCTGCCTTTTTATTTGCAAGCAGCATGTTCTTTAGCATAAAGTTTTTAACATTTTGGGTGGATCAGAGACTTTTTTAGAATCTGAAAGCTGTGAGCCCCTCCCTAGAAAATAGACAACAATAGAAAATGTGACACACAGACTCTGGACCCCAGATAAGAGCCCTGGCTTTATGGCTCCCTTTACACCAGTGCTTAGAGATTAAGGACCATGCTTGTCCGGGCTGGGAATGGGTTGCCTCATTTTTATATGTTCTGTGAAATAGGCTTTCACATCCAATTCCTTATGAGAGTTTTTTCCTTGTCTTTTTGGTGTTTTAGTATAATTCTGTACTTCAGTTGTGAAATTATAAAATACCGTGCTCATCCTTGGCCTTGTAACCGGGAGTAAACTGTGATCTTAAGTTTCAGTAGCACTCTGAACAACTGCATGCTTATTAATGGTGCTACAACCAAGCATTTTTCACATTTTTTTTCAATTTACAAATCAAAATGTTTATGTGTACAGTGATGGACTTAAAGGCAGACCTCAGTTCAGGCTCTATGAGAGTCTTCATACCCTGCACCCCATCCAGCAACCACCCCATACACCTTCCCCTTCCCTCTGTCTCGTCTTGTCCTAAGAGTCTGTTGGCTGAGGATTCTTTTGGCCTCTTCATTTCTACCTAATTTGTGGAATTCCATTTAGAACTGTGTATAAGTTCATCATTGAGAATGTAATGACTGCTGAAGAGTTGTATTTGATTTTTAAGTGTTATTAGTATTGTCCAAGAGTTATATTAAATATCTAGAAGTTTGTGGATATGCTGGGTATTGTGTTCCTTAGAACAACAGAGGGAGGGCTGCCCTCACTTCTACCCCCAGGACAGGAGACTGAGCCAGACTACCAGGCAGGGCCTGAGATCACTGATTCTCAGGACTGGATGGAGCCTCAGTTATTCATCAAACCTGTCACTATAGCTATGGAAGAGAGGAGACACTGAAGTCCAGAGAGGGGAAGAACCTGCCCAAGGTTGTGGTTTGTGGCCTCTGACTTTTCCCCGCATGTCCCTGGCCCTGTTGTGGGTCTGTATGCTGAACATCTCCTGTCTAGCCACTCAGCACTGTGGGTCTTAAGTCCAAGTTGTTTCCCTGGTGGCCCTGGCTACTGGCCGTCGGGCTCTCATCTTCTCCCCCTGGTGGCCATCAGTGGTCCCCTCATCCTGGCAGGGCTCTGGGCAAGGGCTGGAGTTTCTGAGGAACCCCATTCTCTCGCCAGGCTGTGCCACCCTTTGTGGTTGAGGCCAGGCAGGTGATCCAGAGGTTGGACCAGGATGCTGGAAACGTCACGACATTCAGAACAGAAAAGAATGTGCTTTCCTGCTTGTGCTTATTTCAAGGAACCAAGGCATACTTCAACATCCTTCTCCTGAACTGTTTTTTCCAATTATCAAAACGTTGGTCCAGGCAAGCTTTTTTCTTGCTAAAATTTCCAATTTTATCTTGTTCTTTCAGACATATTAATTATAGTCTCTTTTCTCTCTAGCCTATTAGTAATGCTGATTTTATTGTTCCGGTTGAAATCGATGGAACTATACATCAGGTAAGAAAATCAGAGCTAAATTTGAGTTTCAGTGAGCATTTCTTTTAATTATATTCCCTATGAACTTTATTTCTTAATTTCTATTTCAGTGGTAATATTATTCAATACAAAACAAACAGACTTTGAATAATAAATACAATGATTTTTCTGCTTTTCTTTCCTACTCACTTGAATTTGTTTATACCGATTTATAAGGAAAACTGTATCTATTTCATAAATATTTGATGTGCCTGCAAGTTCAAATAGTTCTTTGATTTGATGCAGACTTTCAGAAGTTTCCATCTCCCCCACTGGCCTAGCTTGATAATCTAATTAACTTCCTCATATAATTGCTTTTGGCTACTCTCCTAGCAGGCAACAGGAAAATCACCAGGTACCCACTGACAGTGAATTCTTGGGGAAATGTGTTCTTTTCCAATACCAGATGCTCCAGACTGATCTTGTCACTCCTGCATTCTCCAGTGGATCTTTAGCAAATACCCAACCCTAAAGAAAAAGGGAGAAGGTTTTTGGATCAGCAGGCTGCTGTGAATAAAGATGCCATAGTCAGTTGGCATGCATGTCATCTTCATTCTTTGTAATTTTTTCCCTTATTTGCATAAAGCTCTTCCGGAAATAGCTTCATTTATGAACATATTGGAAACATTGCAGGAAAACTGGCCTTGAAGGTTGAAGGGGGTGGCTTTTGTCAGGTTTTCTACAGGGATGATCTGACCATCTTCCTTGCGAGCTCCAGGGTCTTAAAGGGAGAGTTTCTGGCCTCGTATTGCAGGAAGGAAAATCTCTCTTGGTACCTGGGCCACAGGCCACAACAGGATGTCTTTCCTTAACAATGTCAGTGCTCTCCGGCTCTCAAGTGCAGGTATTAAAACTGTTGCAGCCTTGGAAACCAGCTGGTCCAGCCACCTCATTGCCCAGATGGGGAGATTGAGACTTAGCCAAGGAGAATGTTGGTTCAAGGTTATATGCAATGGGAAGAACTAAAATGAGAATTCCAGTCTCCTGCCTCCTGGCCCAGCGTTCTTGCCTCATACTCAGGTTCCCCTCCCCTCCCCACCCACTCCTTGCTTTCTGGCCTGTTCTCCAGGAGATCCTGCCAGGAAACAATCCCTGGGAAGGGTGGATAGGGACTGCCTCTACACTTCATGCTTGTAAAAGTCATCATGGGGCCAAAACTGCAAGCACCTGGGCATTTAACATTTGCAAAAAAAAAAAAAAATCAACTGAATTAACTCAGCATCTGAGAAGCAATTAAGACTTCTGCATCTTGGCTCGTGTTGCAGAGTGCTCGTGATGAGACAGACAAAGGAGAGCTGCCCAATGGCATGCAAGCTTTAGGAGAGGAATTAATCCTTCACACCATGTGACTGTGAGCATGCCTGACCTACAGGAGCCACCTCTAGCCTCCCTCCTGTCCGTGCTTTGACTTGCTTGGCAGTAGACACCCCAGGGTCCCTAGGCTGGGGTCAGAAACTCTCCTGAGGGAAGGAAGCCACAGGCGCCAAGAGCAGGAGGACCAAGGCCTTGGCGAAGGCCGTGGCCTCGTTCAAGTAATCCAGGATAGGCTGTGCAGGTCCCAATGGGCCTATTCTTGGTTACTTGCACAGGGACGCGAGCCTGGACGCCGGCATCCAGGCCCAGGACCCTCCTCTCTGCCAGAGGCACCAACGCCAGAGTTCCCAAATCAATCCTTTTCATGTAACACAGCTTGCTGTTCAAGCAGTACTCCCGAGGACACAGAACCACAGGCTGCAGTCTGTCGCTGGCACTGGTACCAAGGAATCTCCTGGGCACTGTGGGGCATGGATCACTACAGCCACAAGCCCTGTCCTCAACTCTCACCCCAGCCTCCCAGCTCCTCAGAGCTGTGTTGGCACCCTGTGTCTAGGCCACCCTGTTCCTCTGTGCCCTGCTGTGACCCTGAGCCACAGACCCGTGTCCACCCTACTGTGTTAGTCATGAGTTTCCCATCAAGTCCTGGTCCTCCCCAGTCCCTGTATCTGGCATATTGAAAGTTACTCGGTTCTAGGTAGAGTGGAGTACAGAGCCCCCCTGCCTCACCTCTGCTACATCTGCAGTTTATCCACCCTGTTCCATCTGTCATTTAAGGCCTTACATGTGCTGTGACCTGCCTCTCAGTCTTCAGCCACCTCCTGCCCACTTCCCCGTCTTCTCTCATAACCTCGCTGAGCTGGGCATCATCTGACACATTAAGTATTTCAGGTCTCTGGCTTATACTTTCCTCTGCCTGAAAACTTGCTTCTTCTCATTCTTACAGGCCTGGTGAATGCATATTCATCCTTCAGGATCTGGGCCAAATGTTGCCTTCTGTGATTCCCTCCCCTGAATGGGGAGTTAACTCTCTCTAATTTATCCCCCTGCTGTGACTTTCATTATGCCATGTTTTCTTTTATACTTTTGCATGCATCTGCTGTAGACTGTGAGCCCTTCAAGGGCAAGGCCTGTGTTTGATTCGTCTTTGTAACCACATCAAGCTGAGCACAGAGCTGCAGCTCGGTAAATATGTTGAATTGAATTTTGAAGAGTTTGATTTATTTAGTGAAGTGGCTAATTTCAAAAGAAATTTATTCAGGTTTTAATGGGTTCCTCCCTTCTCCCATTTCCTTTGTCCTCTCACCAGCTTGGCCTTCTCTCCCATCTCCCAATTTCTTCTGATTTCTTCAGGCTCCCTAGTCCAGAGCCCATGTGTAAGCTGAAGCCTCGCTGCTGTGCAGCCCTGCCCAGCCTGCCTGGCCAAAAGGCTGCACAGAGCCCAGCCATTCTAGAAAAGGCTACTCTTTACTCAGAGACCCCCAAAGTGGCTTGTTTATGAGTCCCTGAAGCTGGCTTCACATCTCCCAAAATGTATTTCTATATCACGCCCAGCAGAGCAACCCTGTGGTTTCAAGTAGGCAGCTCGCATGCTGATAAGGAAGACCCTTTTTGCCCCTTACCTTCTATTGAGGGGAAGTGTTCTCTTCAGAGTAAGGTGGCAGCTGGAGCAATCCTAGATCTGCTATTCGTTTCCAAAAGGACAGCACCCAGACCATGGCCTTTATCCACATGGGGCCTATCCCACAACAGGTGCCAAAAACACATGTGAAATGAATGAGTGGTTTACACAGACATGGGACCTGCATTCTACTCACTGGCTCTGAAAAATCCCCAAGCCCCTCCATTCTATGGTCAGCTTCCCTTTCCCCCTTAAGAGGGTCATCTACAATGAACTTAGACCTAGACCCCCACCTGGGGAGTGTGCCCTCTGATGCTGTAGTCTGGGCCTCTGCAGGCCACACATGGACATGGTGATGGGAGGCAGACACCCTTGGGGCAGTTCTTCCTACAGTGGGCGCTTGGGCCCAGGCATCCCAGCAGCTGCCATGACTGACCAGCTTGCTGTTTCCTGCCGTTGCAGGTGTACGTGCTGAAGCGGCCACATGTGGACGAATTCCTCCAGAGGATGGGGCAGCTCTTTGAGTGTGTGCTCTTTACTGCCAGCTTGGCCAAGGTGCGTCCTATTCCTCACCCAACTCCCAGCCCCAGCTTTCCACTCCCCTCCCCCACCTCTAACTCTGATCTGTCACAAGCCTTTGTTAAGGTGGGGAAAGCTGTTTTTATGGTGACAGGTTCCCACCCAGATGGGACAGACACAGGCCATGTGCACACCGCCAGGCTGAAAGGCTTCTGGTTACCATGGTAACAGGGAGCACTTAGAACAAATGCTCCATGAAGTTGCTGTACACAGCCGCCTGAAGCTGGTTGTCCACGGATGAGAAAATCACAAATGTCCAGTGTGGCTGTGAAAGGATGGCCGCCTGCTGCAGGCACATTGCTGCCTTCTCGTCCACTGACTGGCATCCAAATGATAGAGAACCTACACCTTGAGTTTGGGTTACACTGGCTTAGGGGAGGGACAAATGAGAGAGACATGTGGACAGTCACCCAGAGACATGGGCTGGTGAAAGTTCTGGCTCTGCCCTAAGTTGCTGTGTGATCTCAGGTAAGTCACTTCACTTTTGGCATCTTGGTTTCCTCCTCTGTAAGTGGGGATAATTCCTTCTGCCTCATAGGGAGGATTAAATTAAACTGCCTGTGTAAAGGGCTTAGCAGGGCACCTGACATGCTGGGCAAGTACTCAGCAAGCACTTGGCTGGGCTCCATGTACTATGCTGGTCATTGTCACAGTGTGGTGCTCCTGATGGTCAGTATTTAGCATCATAAGTGTTAATGGTGATAAAATCATTCAGACATATTTTGATCTTACAACTTAGTTTGAATCTCTTACCCATCAGCTACCCTCATCTGACCAAAGAGGTTTCTTTGTCCTCTTCCACTATTGAAGGAATTAAATAGGTTCTCAAGACCCCCTTTCAGGTTTCAATTCCCCCTTCACAGATGAAACAAGGTGCTGTGCTGTTTCTAGGGCAGGCAGGGTGGGCCCTTGCTCCTCCTCCAAGGTCCTTACCTTGACCATCTTTCAAACCCTGATTCTCATGAGACCAGTGCCATCCACTTGGTGGCACCACCAGTGTCTTCCTGGGGACTCTTGAGTGTCCCCAAAGATGCGTTTTGTGGGGCCTAGGTTAGCCATCTGCCTGTGTGCAGACCTGCTCCAGGAAACACACACAGTAGCTTGCCCCAGTGTGGCCAGCCTCTGGATGGCTCCCCGTACCCTGGTGCCCATGCTCCTACTCTGTGTGTTGGAGCTTCTGACTCTGGATCCTGGGCACTCTGCTTTGCCAGCCTAGGCATTCCTGGCCGGGTCCATCTCTGTGCTGAGCGAGGTAAGAGAGAGCCCCACCTGTACAGCATTCTGCCAGTCTCATCCCAGCACAGAGCCTGCACCTCTGGAGAAGGAATCTAAAACGTGGGCTTTAGTTTTGCATACCAAGAAGAGAGCGAGGCCTCGGGGAAGGCAAAGTCTTCCCTAGTGGGTAATCTTTCAGATGAGAGGTACCAAGACTAATTGCATCTGCAGCTTCGATGGCTCTTCTGACAGTGCTCTGGGGTGCTGAGGAACCTGAAGTAATAATCACAGAAATAACAAACAGGAAGCTTGCACCAATGCCCTGGACCAGGAGTTGTTTTTTTCTTTGGCAAAATTGAAAACATTTCCTTGGCATTGTCCCCAGTATTTGCTTAAACATCCTTGTTGGGCTTCTCTTCCTGCCCCTCCATCTGTCTCTCCAGTCCTTTTGTCGCTGCTACTCCAGGCTGGCTGAGCGGAATCAGTTCCCAAGGGCATCCTTACAGCTTCTTTCCTCCCTGATGTCCAAGTTCCACTATGGTGGTCATTGCTTCAGCTCTGGGCTCTGGGCTCAGCTCAGCTCCCTGCTGGAAGCATTGGTGTACAGCCTCAGAGGCCCCCCACTGGCTGTCAGTGCCCTCTAGGACCCGCATCCTTGTCACACAACCATTTATTCCCCCAGTGCATATATACTCAGTACTTATTTATGCCAAACAGTACTAGGCACTGTGAATGTAGCAAAGAACAAGGAGACACAGTCCCTGACCTCCTGAGACCTACATTCTTCACATTCATCTCTCAGGCCTGTGGTCCCCGGATTCATTCACTTCCCTGAAAGATGAGTGCCAACACCATCAGCAGCAATGATTATGAGGCAGTTAACCATCTTTTCCCATCCAGAGCCAACCCCTAGTAGTCCACCCACTGATGCTTGTTTGGCCGCATTGGAACAATGCGCTGAACTCTCACCCCACTTGGTTAGTAAGAGATAGAGCTGTTCCTGGACTCTGCCTCCCTCAGGGTGTCTTGGAGAGGAAAAGACTTGCCCATGGACTCAGATGCTATGCCTCTCACTGCTGGCCTTCCCAACAGCTGCAGGTACTCCAGTGTCCCTGGCAAAGTTACAGATCCCCAGCAATGCCTGGCTGTGCCCTCACTTTGGTCTTGATGGTGAGGCCTGTCCTCACATCATCCTAGAGGACATGGGCCTCACTCCAGGAGGTGCAGCAATAGACAGTGGAGAATGCTAAGCAAGGGGCTGATGTGATGGGAAGTATGTTTTCCATTGACCATTCTAACAGCTTTGAGGTAAATGGGCTAGGAAGGGAGGTCCAGCAGGAAAAACATCTCCCAGGCCAGAGAGTAGAGCCTGGCCTAGGGTGGTAGCAGTAAAACTAGAGAGATGCAGGTGGAGTCCGGATATTTTTGAAGGTAAAACTGCTAAAGATATTCTGTGGATTAGATATAAGAAATGGAAGAGTCCAATGCATCTTAATACATGGAGAGAAAAATAACCGGGATCCTAAAACACTTCCAATTATTAAATCATCTTTAAAAAAAAAATAGTGTGGGTATTGCTGCAGTAGGCCAGGGTCTCTGGCTCTTCTGGGCACCCAGCTTTAATTCGCGATACCTTCTTTCTAGTATGCAGACCCTGTGGCTGACCTCCTAGACCGCTGGGGTGTGTTCCGGGCCCGGCTCTTCAGAGAGTCCTGTGTTTTCCATCGTGGGAACTACGTGAAGGACCTGAGTCGCCTGGGTCGGGAGCTGAGCAAAGTGATCATCGTGGACAATTCTCCTGCCTCCTACATCTTCCATCCTGAGAATGCAGTAAGTAGCCCTAGAGAACAAGATGGCAGGGCTGCATCTGAGCTGTCTTGGCAGGCGAGCACCCCCCACGAGAAGGTCTTGGAGCCTTTTCTTAGTTAAATCGCAGCTCAGCCTCTTAGCAGTTGAAGGACATCAGTCAAGTTATCTCACCTCACTGAGCCTCAGTTGCATCACCTGTCAAGTGGGAATTATGGGAATGCCGATCTTGTAAGGTTGATAGGGGATTTGGTGGGCAGTAGGTGAAACGCAGTGGCTAGAGCAGGGCTTGCCCTGGTAAGCACTCCACCTACCCGTTTCTCCTTAGTACTCCGGGGAGGGTACTTGTGGAGGGTTGTTTGCTATTAACCTCATGCAGCTGGCTGCTGCCCAGCACTTTGTGACCTCTGCAGCAGATTCAACAGGCTGGGTGACTCCTAAAGCACAAGTATACCTTAAACAAGAATGAATAAAACACTTCAATAAGGTCTTCAGATAAGACTGTCGGCTTATACCTCATAATGATGTCTGAGAAGCACCCCGTGGGAACAGTTCTTACATAAACCCCCTGGAGCACGGCAGCTCCCAGTGCCTCCTCAGTAGGGGACAGCCTCCCTTCACCCGCCCAGTGCTCTTCCAGAGGAACAGAAATCAGCCACTGCAGAACAACCAGCCGTTCTGCACACACACACACACACACACACACACACACGCCTCTCAGACTCATCCAGGCTTACAGAGGTCCCCTCCTCAGGTCCAGAACTCTAGCCACACTTAGTAACAAAAAAAAATTCAAATGATTCACTTAGTTGGTGTGATATTGTTGTTTGAATACTTACTCAAAACGTATTGTTTTACATATAATACTTTAACAAGTAAATCAAATTCAACATAGTACATTTGGTTATGACAGATAAGGGATAAAAGATAGATTTTGAAAAGAGATAATAGATAAGATTTTTTTAAAGGCATTTTTTTTTCTTCTTTGAGTACGGGGATGGACAGAGCTGCATCTCCAGCCCTTTTTATTTTTATTTTGAGGCAGGGTCTTGCTAAGTTTCCCAGGCTGGCCTTCAACTTGTGATCCAACACAGTAGCTTCTTACATTATCTACTATTCACACTATATTCATTGTGTCCCATCATCACAAAATGTTTTCTTTCATCTGAATTGTTTGAATCAGGATCCAAAAAAGGCCCATGCATTGCATTGGTTAATTCTTTTGTAATTTGAACATCTCTTCCTTTCTGTCTCATTCTCCTATGCCATTGGTTTGTTGAAGGTTTGGTTATTTTTCTTATAGAAATTTTCTACATTCTGAGTCTGCCTATTTGCTGTGGTTTGGTGGTGTTAAGTATATTTTCCCAGCTGCCCTATATCCTTTAAACAAGAAGATAGATCTCTGTATAGTATTTGGTTAGATTCAGGCTCATTTCTTTTCTCTCTCTTTTTTTTTTTGTCCACAAATACAAATACATCATAGGTGATATTGCATACTTCCTATGAAATCATACCAGGAGGCATATAATGTCAGATTGCCCCTAAAGATTTAAAGTTGGTCATTGGGTTCATCCATTATAAAGTTCCCTATTAATCTTTCACCTCATAATCATAGCAGTTGTTGTGTAAATCCACTATTTCATTAAGAATTGCAAAATGTTTGATTTCTAAATCTTAGCATTCCTTATGCCTTTTTTGGCCAGACATCTTCTAAAAAAATAAAATAGAACTGGCCATGTTGTCTGTTTGCTTTCCCTAAAATACAGTTTGAATGTTTGAATAGGGAAAGCAGTATAAAGTCTTAGTTTTTTTCCTTTAATTTTGCAGTTTTAGGCTAATAAGTTTATGTGTGTATGTGCACACACACACGTGTGTATGTATTAGAGTAATGAGCTCTAACAATCTCCAGAAGTAGCCAGTGAATTTTAGTATTATATGTGCTCATAGATTTTTTTTTATTGTTTCAGTCCAATCTGTTTATTATTATTTTGGATGCTCACATTTTTGCCTTTGACCAACGGAGACTCCTCCAAATAACAATAATATTTGATAGCCTGCTTTGCTTTCTGATACCAGACGTTCCAGGCCAGGGACTGGGAGTGTAGTTCTTTAGTAGATTGTGTACTTAACATTCACAAGGCTCTGGGTTCCATCCCCAGCACAAAAAGAAGAAGAAGAGACGTTCCAGGCTGTTCTTGAACATTTCTTAGTTCAGTCTTGAAATCAGCCAGTTTTCTGTGAATCTTGGTCCCCGTTAGTGGAAATGGTGTTTAGAGGTCACAATTGGGATGGCATGTCCTTTACTTTTAATCATACTACAAATCGGAGCTTTAAAAAAAAAAAAAAAAGAACCAAAATACTTATTTCTTAGAAAGAAAAATAAATTATAAATTCGTACTGGTTTTTCCAATTCAACGTTAAGATTACAGAACTTTTATTTTATTTCTTTGTTTTTGTATGTGAATCTCTCTCATGCTGAAATGCTTGATTTCTAAGGATATTAACATAATTACATGTTTGATTTTTTTCTATACTATATATTTAAGTCAAAATAGCAGTTCTGATATTAATTACGGATAGTAAAAATTGAATGCAGCTTAGGGGTTTTGGGAGAAATGTACAGTCAGACACCATGTTTGAAATCACTGGGATATACTCAGTAGTAGGACACTCTCCTGGCATCTACAAGGCTCTGCAGTTGATCCCCAGCACTTGGGGAACAAAAAAAATCACTTGAAGTAATTCTCTGTGTGATCATGTCACCCACTAGCCTTATATAACTTAGGTTCATTTGTTAATTGCCTTTCTCCTAATGGTTTGATTTTCTTTTAATTATGTAACACATTTACATGATTCTGTCATCAAAACTATCAGTGAAGATCTAGAGAATCTTCCATTTAAAGAAGTCGTTTTTTCTGCCCTCCTCCGTTCTCTCTCTTCCTCCTAGAAGTGTTCATTTTTCTATTAATTCTTATATTTTTTTTTCAAAATTACATGAATTTTTATGTTTCTGTTTATAAAATTTGATTTGTAAAAAGGTTAAAATGTGGCTTGTACACCTTTTCAGTTTTCTTAAATTTCTTTTTAAATCTTTTCTCTACACCCCTGGCTGCCACCAACCACTACCCCCCTCTACTTCTCAGCCTAAAATTAAGGAGAAATCCTGCCTTTGCCCATCCTTCAGAATGCCCTGGAATCTTATGCTTCCACTTTTACCTTTTCATTGCTAAGCATGGGGGAAATGCACCCTTGTCTTTGCCATGCAGCACAGCACAACTTCAAGTAGAAGCCTCCTGTGCTTGGACAGCGCCTCCTGGTTTCAGGAATTGGCACATCACCTCTGGATCCGCTTGCTCCCAGGTGCAAGGAGCTGATTTGGTGCCATATAAAGAGCTTTATGAAACTGCAAGTAGCAAGCCTAGTGCTTTGGCAGCCTCTCCTGTGGCAGGAGAATAAAACAGGCAAATGCACACGGACTGGGTACACTTTGCCTCTTGAGTGATCCTGAAGCCACATAGCTCTGGACTGACCTTGTTTAGAACAGGGGAACAAGCAGAATGATGGTCATGAAGTTGATGATGATGATTTCTAGATACTAATCCTCTTTACCAAAAAATATGATAAAAGTCTGGGGACCCAGTCGGGTTGGGAGCAGCCCCAGCCCCTGGGTACAGTTGTGCTACCTGCCCCACCCACTGTCTTCCAGGTGCCTGTGCAGTCCTGGTTCGATGACATGACGGACACGGAGCTGCTGGACCTCATCCCCTTCTTCGAGGGCCTGAGCCGTGAGGACGACGTGTACAGCATGCTGCAGAGGCTCTGCAATAGGTAGCCCCGGCCTCGGCCCGCCTCCTGCCTCTGCACTCTGGAACCTCTGGCCTCAGGGGACCTGCCTGGCCTCAGCTCCCTGGAGCTGAAAGTGAGGACTCCATGCTCCAGGCCACAGGGTGAATGTGGCCACGCCTACCTGTTTGTTTTTTAAGAACAGAAACAACTATTTTAAAAAGAACTCTTTTAACAAATTTCATAAAGCAACATGCATTTTACTGGATTTGCTTTTCTTAAAACATACCAAAAAGAAAAAAAAATGGGGGGTAAAAAAGCTTGATATCTATCAGACTTCCTTTCAACTGTTCTCCCCTCCAAACAGACAACCTGTCCCCTTCTGTCCCAGCTCAGAGCAGCTGACCCAACTCAGAATCTCTTTCCTACAGGATGAAGTGCCTTTTTGAATGTTATTTTAAGCTGAGAGTTAATTTTTCTACACAAACATATTTCCAGACATCTTTTAGCCTTTTATTGTCTTAGATACTCTGAGAAGATGAACATGACGATTTTCTAGAACCTGGTAGTGTGTGTATAATGGGGTGGGGGGTGAGGGAGGGAGAGTCATTGATGCCTGTTTCCCAACAGGTGTGACTTTGCTCTGATGACCCGTGGCATGCTGCAGGGTCAGGCTCCCATTGACAGGAGTTTTTTGTGACTATGTCATTGTCTCCACTCATTTCTGACCCAGTTTGGAATGTATCTGCAATTGTGTGGCTCAACATTTTAGGAAACAATATTCTTTTATATTATGATTTCTGATGATGACAAATTTTGTCTTGAGGTTACATTTTCCCCTTGAAAAGTGACATCACACCCTTGAAAAGTGACATCACGTCACTTCTGCTTTCACACTACTGCCATATCTTCTGTGTGTTTTTTGCTGTTCTGCTGTTATCGGTTTTGGTAGAACAGTTACGAGAAACTCTGAAACCCTTGGATACAAAAAAAAAAAAAAAAAAAGCCTGTTTATTGAATTTTAATTCCTTTCCTTTCCAAAAGCTGGATATACATGGAGCTGTTTGGGAATTTTCTTTGCTGCTACCGTGCTGCCACCAAATGGAATTGACCAGCGGCTGTTACACTGTTCTTTGCCACTGTGCCTATGCTCAGAACATGCTCACTGCTAAGCTGCAAACTTGGACAGGGTCAAAAACGGGTGTCCCACCCCATGGCAGACTGCACCAACTGTGTTCCTTCCCTGGCACTGGCCGCCAGGAATACAGAAGTGTACAGAGGCACAAGGGCCAGAGCACCACACAGCTGTAACATTTAACTTTGAACTGCAGTCAACATCAGGTCCTCTGATGAGCTGACTGTTTTCACTGGAGAACCAGGGGCCTCAACCAGCCACCAGTTTTATGTGGCCCGAGTCCATCTCTTGGTCTCCTTGGAAGCACAGCTATTTTGAGCCAAAAGTGGGGAAGCCTGTCTAGCTGGGAGACCCACTCCAAACCAGGGAGAAGAAGGGCTCCTCCTCTGAGCCAGGCTCTCTTCTCAGCCTCTCCCAGTTTGGTGTTTAAGCAGTGCCATGTTCCTTGTTTGACAACAAGATAGTCTATAAAGTATTGCTTTTCAAAGTAATTAAAAAGAACCCTTTTGTTTTGGCACCATTGCCTTAGTCCTCTGTGGGTTGTCCTCAGCCAGAGTACTGGTGGGAGTGACTGGCTCTAGCAAGGTGCAAAACTAGGGGTCTGAGTAAGATTCTTCTTGTGCTTTCCACTCAGAAAATAATGAAGCCAGCTGCCAGTCGTATCCTCCCCACAGCACTTTGGTCTGTTGAGTGCTGTGCATTCAGGAGAAAATATTCAGGGGCAACCGGGTCTCCTGACATTCAAAGTGTTCCAAACCCAGTAATCCATATGCCAATTAAAATAGAAACAGCCCCTTGCTAGACATTGCCACAGATAATGACAGTTACATGGCAGGTCTGTCCATGTCATAAACCTTCATTTAGAAAAACAGTCATTAAATGACCCCACTGCCTTAAATGTCTTGAATGTTCCAGTCAAGTGTCTGTCAGGTGTTGATATCCACCCAGAACTAGGCCCTAAGGAGCCTTAGCCCTCCACCATGCCCCCTTCCATGTTGGCAGCACAGGGCCTCACTTAGAAGAGGGGCAGAGAGGATTAAAATTCCAGAATATTTCAGGGGAGTGCTCCCCTTCTGGCAAGTGGAGTTAAACACATGTCAGGCTTGAGCCAAACCCTTCACCTCCCAGCTCCTGCACCTGGGAGCGCAGTTCATGCCATTGCACTAATCCAGTGTGGAGCTATTGGGAAGGGAGCCCAGTTCCTGCCACCACAGACCCAGAATGTCATGAGTGGGCGACCAAAACCTCTGAGGGTTCTGGAATCTGTGCACCTTATTTGACCACACTCCAAAATTCCGTTTTTATTTTAATCCTTGATTCTGCTCTGTGTACATAATCAAATTATCTATATCTATATATATATTTTTAATCATCTACCTGTAAATGAAGCAATAGAATTCTAACAAGGCCAAGAAATGAGGCAAATGGGGTTTATGGTTTTTAAAGGTAAATACGGGTATTGTTTTTAATTATTACCTTTTATTAAATTGTGGGCTTTAAAACCTAATGAAACCTATTATCTACTTCTCTGTGCCATATATTTCCCACGTTACCAAATGTTCAGACTTTTTTTAGCTACAATGAAGTCTGACCTCCAGTTTCCATGGTCCTCTCAGTACCAGATTACAATGTAGCCTCCTGGGCAAGTATTTTTTACATTAAGATCTGGGACAGGATTCCTTGGGTTTGTGGACTCCCGCCCACTATGATGTTACGACATCTCTGGCCAGGCCTAGAGCTGGGGGTGCCCAGGCACTCCTGATAACGTTAAGGCTCCGTCTTCCATTGCTCTGGAATCCTATGTGTTGGTCTGTGGTTTCACACACTAGCTGTTTTTAAACAATGCATTTGTATACTAATAATAAACACCACCTGTCATGGTTGATGATTGGTGGGGAATCTCCTTTGACATGGTGCAATTTTGATGAGATGACTTTGGGGACATGGTGCCCCAATGACACTGACTTGTCACGGTTGCAGCATTTGAACTTTGGGTGTAAAGGAGAAGTCTGTAAGTCTATGTATTGGCAACAATTTACAACCCTGTTGTAAAGATGGCTTTCTAATAAAATCCAGAAACACACAGCCCTATGGTCAAACACTCGTGACGTTTATGCCTCTGCTTCTAAAGGTGCTGTGCTGGACAGTTGGCATGCCAGGGGTTGAGAAGAACAGATGGCTTGATGCATTTGCAGTTACCTGTACAAAATGGACTGGCTGCCTCTGTTCCTATTTTACTGTAAATCTGATGGTGTCTGTTCCAGGTCCATTCTCCCAGGAGCTTCTCTGCAGACTAACCCCCCACCCCCGCAAGCAGCAGAGATGTTGGTGTCTGGGTAGTCATGGGTTTCTGATGGACATTTGAACGTGATGAACAATCCAGCATTACTTTGGACTGTGCACATTTCCAGGGGCGAGTGTTGTCAGTCAAGAGGTTTGCAATGATTTCCTTCCTGCCAAAAATAAACATGTGAAACTACACTCTCTTGTGGATGGACTCCTTCTCCAGTGGCAGCACCTCTCCTCCCTCCATGCTGCCCCCTGCACAGCCTCATGCCAGCACCTTGAGTCTCCTAGTGTCACCACTTCTGGAGAGCAGGGTAGATGGGAGCCAGGCTGCAAGACCCCAGGAAACCACAGGCCTTGACCCCAGGGGGAGCTAGAAAACCAAATTGTCTGTCATCCAAAAAGTGACAGCTGTTTGGCCCCCTGGCTTCCTCTCCCCAGATGGAAGCAGTCTGGCTCACCATCCTCCCACAAGGACTCCAGCCCCACCGAGAGGCTTCTAGATACAGCATGAGAGAATCGTAGTCCCCCACCCAGTGCCAAAAGAGCCACAGGTGTTGTATATACACATACTCCTCAAGGACACTAGCTGAGATACTGTGCTTACTAGAAGAAGAACGGCATGGAGTCAGAAAAGCAGGGATGTAGCAGACAATTTGCTCACAGTGAGACATCCTGCAGATATTACCCTCAGCCCAGCCCTTCTCTGTGTGAAGGTGAGAGAAGCAGCAAGGGCCTCTGTCTCTCTCAGGACTCCTGGCGTGGCCTCATCACTCTCAGGACCTTGTTTCTTCATAATGATATTTAATTCAGAAAACAACACCAGTGTCCACCATCTCATCAGAGAAGCCACTGAGACAAAGGTCGGCAGTCTCTGCTCTGTCACAGGATACTAGGTTCTGCCAGACACATCTAGTCAGCCCTCACAACCATGGGGTGTTGTATCCTCTTTCAGCCGACCAGACATCAGAAAGATTCAGAAAACTGCATCAGTATGGAACCTGTACAGGTGTCATGATTTCCTAAATAACAACTATTTACATAGCATTTATATTAGGTGTAATCAAGGGATGATTTAAAGTATACACAAGGATGTGCATAGGTTACTTGCAAAAATTCCACTTTATTTAAGGGGCTTGATTTGGGTACCCAAGGGGAGTCCTAAAACCAATCCCCTGCAGAGAGATGGCTCTCTTCATCCCTGACAACCCAGGCACAGTATGTGTGCAGCTTTCTCTCTCTGGAACAGAGTACCTGAGAAAAAAGAAAGGAGAAAAAATTTATTTTGGCTCATGGTTTCAGTGGTTTCAGTCTGTGGTCACTGGCTTCATTGCTTTGGGCTGAATGGAGGCAGAACATCATGGCCAGAGGGCTTTGGCAGAGGAAAGGCTGCTTACCTCATACCAGGAAGCAGAGATGAAGGAGCTGGGGACAAGATACAGTCCCCAAGAGCACTCCCTAGGTTCAACTCCCTTCCACCTTCTGCAGTTCCCACTACCTCTCAGTAGTCCATTCCCATTATGAGTCCCTCACTGGGTTCATCCACGGAGGAAGTCAGAGCCCTCATGATCCACCACTGCACACTGCTGCACTGGGGACCAAGCCCTCAACACATGAGCCTTTGAGGACATCCAGATCTAGACCATACCAGTGTGTGTCAGGTCCAGGAGACAATCCAGTATGTTCCTAGAGACTCTACGGCAAATATCCCACTGCTAGTCTGTGCTGTGTCCTACTTCAGTCTTCGCAGCGGGGCAGCCAGAGAGAAGTCACTTCTGGTTACAACTCCTTGACTGGGTCCCTTGTCCTATGTCTTTCCTTCACTCTGCTCCCTAGCCTTCTCTTTCCCTCCTCTCGACTTCTCTGCCATCAGCTCCATCCCCAGGGTGGCTTCATGACTTAGCATGCAAGCAGATAAATGGCTGAGAGTGGTGGCAGCCCCAGGCTGCATGTCCTAGTAAGCATCAAAGGTCACCAAGAGGGCACTTATTTGGCACTGGGGCACACTGAGATGTCCCCTCCTGAAATTTTCCAGACTAAACACGACTCATCTGTAATATAGGACCAAGGAATGAGAGGAAGCTGGGGAGGATGGAAAAGAGCCACTGGGAAAAGACAAGAGCCGTGACATCAGGTTAGCTGAGCAACAGTCTGTTGAACCTACGGATAAGTAATGCACTGGGGCTAGTGGCAGAGCTCCCAGGTTCATCAGGAATGCTTGTGTGGTAAATCCCGTGCCATAGACAGCTGTGGATCAACAGGCCGCTGGAGGCCCAGGGCCACCCACTGGTACAGCCAGACAGCCTGATCTCAGAACAGACTGGACCCCAAGCTGTCAGATGGAGGACAAATGGAAATGGGCCCCAGAGCTTTCCACCCAAACCTCCTTTAAAGCTCTAGCTCTGGCTGCATGTTAGAATCGCCAGACGGTGGGTTCCATCCCTAGCATCTCTCTCTCTCTCTCTCTCTCTCTCTCTCTCTCTCTCTCTCTCTCTCTCTCTCACACACACACACACACACACACACACACACACAATATCACTGGAGCTCTTAAAGATTCAGATCCCAACCACTTAAATTCAAATTTCTGAAGGCCAGCACTTGCACTGTGCTTATTTTAAGCCCCTCAGAGGACCAGATCATGCATCCAGAGTTGCAGTAATGCTATGGAGGAAAAGCAAGTTGCCTAAAACTTCCAGGCCTGATGCCCAGCTTTGGCAAAGGATCTATGGGCGTGGAGAACGGCCTGGGTGGCTTTCCCTAAAAGGTCACACGTGTTCATTGCTAAGAATTAGGGAAATCCAGAAAAGTAGAGGAAGCCTCACCTGGGCACCGGGAGCTTCTCCCAAAGTGAGAATGAGGAAGGGGCCTGATGAGAGCCCTGGTTCTGACAGCACTGTGCTGTCACACGAGATGGATAGCAGGGCAGATTTCCACTGCACATCTGAGCCCTGGTCACACTGCCCAGGAACAGAACCCAGCTGTGGAACCTCCTGCACAAGGGCGGGTGACTGTTCTGACCCAAGCCTGTCTGTTGGGTGTGCTGCCAGGCAATACCACACACCCCTTGTCACAGGGGCAAGTGAGTGACACCCCCTTGCAGCGGCCAAGGGCCAGCCTTTGGTCTGTTCTGAACACCCTGGGATTCCCACAGTATTGCTCCTTGGTGGTCCCACTCTGGGGACTGAGTCCCTGCTCCTCCCACAACCTGCAGCCCCCCCTCCCTCGGGCCCCTTGCTGCTCCACTGCAGAGCCAGGGCCCAGGAGGTCTGCAGGCAGCCGGCTCCAGAACCCCAGTCAGCAGTTCCCGCTCCCCCTCCCTGTCTCTCAGGAGGAAGTACCTTGGAAGGGCTGGGATAAGACCAGGCCACCACTAGGGAGTGGGACCCAGGGTACCTGAGGGAGGCTGGGAGGGGTGGGTTTTCCCAGGACCACTCCCCCACCTGGGTCAATATTGACACAGAGCAGGTTGGACTTGGCAGGGACAAAGTAGCTCTGGGAACCTGCCAGGTGAGGTTGGTGGTAGATCCCTTAGCACCATAGACAGGAAGAGGTCGGGAGACTAGGTACTCAGCGCCAGTTCATTTCCATAGGGGAGGTTGGGATAGGGGAGGTTGTCCGGTGGGACGGTAAGCAAGCAGGGGGAAGAGCGGTAGGACCCTCTTCTTCCTCTGGGAAAGGAAAAAGGGAGAGGCTGGCCCCGTCCCTCTCATTCTGCCTGTGAGCCTTCTCTGAGTCTCAGTTTTCCCCTCTGTGCCAAGGTGTGATGGAGACAGAGATGACTCCGGGCAGACACAAAAGACCAGGCCCTCTGCCCTCCTGCTGTCTGTCCTGGGCTGGGATCACAGGTGGTCTACTGATGTGATTCTGGGATGGGGTAGGTCTGCCCAGGCGGTGTCCCCTGGGTCCCAGGGTCCAGATAATTCTGAGGGGAGGGGACTTGGAGAGGTCCTAGTGCCTTCCTTAAGCTGCTGGGACTATGCAAGGTGGGGTGTCCTGCCCAGAATAGGGTTTGCAGTGGTGTCATCTCTGTGGCCTCTCAGAGGAGGAAATAGCTCAAAGAGTCTGAGAAATCAGTCTCCAAAGTCACTTGGACAGTAGGTGCCAGGGCAGGGACAGGAGCCCGACTGCAGAGAGGACTCCACATCACAGCTCTGACTCAACTGTAGGCCCTGCTGCAGGCTGGAGCCCCACAAAGTGCACACACGCACGCACACACACGCACACTCACGCACACACTGGGCCACACAAACCACAGGAACATGGCAACAGTCATTTACTAAGCACACATCTGGCGGTCATAGATTCCACAATCTAGGGAGTCAACCAACCCTGGACAGAAAATAATTGAGAAAAAACAATTTTTTGTACTGAACTTGTACAGGCCTTTTTCTTGTCATTATTCTGTAAACCATATAGGATAACAAGTGTTTCCGAGATGTTGACATTACATGAGATATAAGTAGTCTAGAGACACGGAAATTACATGGGAAGACTGTGCAGGTTATGGGCAGCTATGACTGCATTTTACCTAAGGGTTTTAAGCCTCCACAGGTTATGGTATTCCCATTGAATCCAGGAGCAATCTTCCTGTGGATACCAAGGAATGACTTATTTTACCATAATTTTTATAAGTCTGGAAAAAAACATCCCCCTGGCTACTGTGAGACAATGAACATCATGCCAGGGGGGACAGAAACAGAGAGGGCAGCTCGTGCTACCTATTGGTGGAGGCTGGCTCCTGGAACAGGGTCGGAGTCTTGAGAGGGCTGGCCAGGATCCATGCAGAACCAGCTACCGACGGTCCAGGGGCTGCCCTATGGGTGGGTGTGAGGGAAAAGAACCCTGGGACAGCTCCAGGTTTGGGGCTGAACCACCCTCTGGATGTCCATTGAACATGTTCCTCAGGCTCAGCGAAGGTAGGTCTGAGAGGCCTGGGGTCTCTGTGCCCGAGAGATGTGACTGAACAGGGGCTGGGAGGAGGGTGGGGGAGAGGAGGAGGAGGGGGAGAGGAGAGACACCAGTGTTGCCATGGTATTTACCACCTGGCGACTGCAAGTAGAAAGAGACAGGAGCTACGGCTGGAGCTCTGTGCCCCCTGACATTTAGAAGCCCAAAGGAAAGAGATGGAATGAGAGGGAGGGGGCGATGGTGACAGGACCA